TGACTGTCATTGTCTTTGTGGTGGACACAACCCCAAACTGGGCAGAACTTCTTTTGTTGATAGGGCAGATGTTTCTTGGGCTCAGGTAAGATCTGATGTCTTTGCTTGCTCCTCTCTACTGAAGTGACCCAGAGGGATTTGTTCTCTAGCAAACTAGCATTGCTGCTGCTGGCATGCTTGGTGAAAGGGATGTCCTCAGTGGAAAAAAAAAAACCTGAGAGCTTTATTTAAGGTGGGAACAATAAGAAGAAGAGAACTGCAAGTTTGAGATCAATAAAATATTCAATGCTTTCCTGGGCTTTGCTTTTCAATAAATAGCAAGAGACAGCACAATCGGAGATAATAACTGCAATTCCAGGCTGACAAAGGAGACCTATGCAAATGGCCCTTCACCTTTCCTCAGTCCAGCTGTGTCTCTGCCTGCTACGTTCTTCCACAACCTAATGAAAAACCCATTTGGATCACAGCCTTTTTCCAGTGCAGAAAGGCCCCCCCTGTTCTGACACAAGTGTTAGCAGATATCCTTAAGCAGCTAGTGGGGAAAAAATTTTTTTTCAGAAGCCAGTGGGGGACTCCTAATTGCTATTGAAAATATTTTCAAAGCGGCAGATCAGCTAGTAGTCCCAGCTCCATCCCAGAGGCAAACACAATTTATTTGTCATGTTTCAACAATTTTTCTGCTGTTCATACAGTGTAATTAATCACTTGGCAGGCAGGAGAACACACACAGGACTGAAAAGGCAGCTCATTCTTCGACATGCAGCAATCATCCTGTACCTTGTTAAGAGGCAGACTCGCTCTCTTATTTACAGGTGAGAGCAGCAAAAAAATGGAAAGCAGCAACTCAATACAGCAACAATTACTAATAAACAAACAGCCTTGTTTAAAACAAGGATCCTGCTATTATTGTGTCTTACAACAACGTTCTTCCACTGGCTTTGCATGTCCGGCATTTGAGCATTGATTTCAGATGAAAAGGCAATTACTCACATGTAAAAATACATAGTCTGTCCCTTCATAAGCAGCTACTCAAATAGGTACCCTGCTATCTGGTGGTGAGAGGTTCTAAGATCTGTCATTCAACCTCCTCTTCTTTCACCTATCCGGGTGATCTAGATTCAGGCTGCCTTCAAATCTGAACAGCCAAAATACGCCAGGTGAAGAGCTGAAAAATCCAGCTCCTGTTGCTGATTCCCTTTTCCCCAAACTTAGGTGCTCAGACAGAAGAGCACCTAGACCCAGGTCCCTGCTTCTCAGGACCTGCAACGCAAATCTTGGCCAGGGAGCTGCAGATGCAGCCAGCCTAATTCCCTCTGAGTCCTGTGGCTAGTGCTCCCAGCTGGCTAGGTGCCCGGGAAGGCCCAGAGCCAGCCATTCGGAAATACTAGACACAGGCAATTTGCTTTGTTTGAGCTGGCTGAATCTGGGTCTGGGTTTTCACACACGTACTTCAGCTGTGGACTTTCTGTTGGTTACCACCTCCAAAAGGCTATCCATGGGCTCTGAAGTGCTACCAGATGCTTGCCACAAAGCAAATCCTGCACACTGGACTAGGGAGACTTTTGTCTCCCTTCAAACTGAAGCCAAAACAACAGTTGAGGCCATAGCAGCAAACACTGTGAAAGGAATTCAGGATCAATAAATTGGCTTCTGGCAAATTCAGAGCGTTTCTATTATCTCTCTAAAGGCTGTAAGAGACAGAAATTATACTAATAAACAGCACTTGACTGAAGCAGTGCCTGAAATGGAGCATAATACAGACCTTAACCAAATCAACAGACTCTGAATTCATAGACAGAGGGGGCAGGTTTATTTGTAGTAGGTCCTGGAGCTGAGAGGCTCTACAACTGCTAACTCCTAACTGCAATCCCACCCTCCTAAGTTTCTTTGGACCAGCTTTCTCTCTGTGTGCTAACATACTCTTCACAGCCTGATTCAGTGCTGATGGAAGTCAGTGGGAGATCTCCCACTGATCTGACAGTCCTGTAGTAACCAAGTGCTGCTCTTTGCTTTCTGCATATCACACCTTAACAGACTTGAGGTCAAAGGAAGAGGTCTGCATTCACCTGAAATATCACTGACACAGCCTTTAATTATAGACCATTAGAAACCTTCCATGGAATGGTCTTTGCAATTTAAATTGCATTTACAATAGGATTTTTTTTCTCCTTTTTGGACTAAGTTTTTAGACATTAAAAGCTTGTCAGCTTTTGTTCTTGTTTACACTGAAGGAAAAGTAAAAGCAGACTATTTAGAAAATGTCAAATGAAATGCCCCAAGCTCCTGGTATCAGGGGATTTTATGTATCAATCTAAATTAATTGCATCCAGTTGGTTGCAATTAAAAGCTGGAGGCTTGGCAGTTTCTTCTTCACGATTTGACTCAACATACATAAACAGATGGATCAGTTCAGCACCTTACCGTGGCTCCTGCCACTTCATCCCACTTCTTGGCATTACCTTCACCTCTTCGGGTTTCTGCCTTTGGGCTTTGGAAAGCTACAATACAGGGAGTGGGCACTTGGGAGGGGAAGCAAAAGTGAAAGCAGGGGACAGGGGAAATAACATGTGACAAGGATAAATCTCCTCCTCCTCTCAAATCACATTGTGAATACAGAGACAGTATAAAAATGAACCAGCTCAGTACCTGTCTTTGTGTAAGTACAACCCCTTGGGTGGAATAAAAGAGATGCATTCCCTTTTAAAATATCTATTCGTGCCATCACAGCAGATGTAGCCTTCTGCTGTGTGAGAATTTGACTGCACTTGAGAATTAGACAGACATGCGAAGGGTATACTGGGATGAAAATTAGATTAGATAGGCAGCTACCATTTGTGCCATTGGGAGCTGCCCATAAACTTGACTACATCACCAGGAATTCACACTCAATAAGGTCTGGGAGATTCAAGGAGAGCTCATATGTTCTCAGTATGTGCTTCTTTGGGAACAGGGAACAAATCTCATCAATGGTGATAACCTCAAATCCACCTGGGCCTTAGTTCTCCTCCGTTACATCAGATTTAAAACTCCAACTTTCTGCCATAGCAGAGCAAGTGCAGAACCTGTTCACAGCCTTTTCCCAGTCTTTAACTGACATCTAGCGAACAGTTTCTAAACTGCACCTGAAAGACCTGGAGATTGCAGATGAAGCAATCCCCTCTGGAGGGCAGCTGTGCAGAGGAGCTGTGCGATAAGCATGGGGTGTACAACAACGTGCACCGTTTCCTGTCCTCTCCCTAAGACGATAGCTGATCTGCCCTGTAGGGAAGAACCTGGTTCTGCTCAGAGGGTGCACAAATACTGCATTGGCTCAATTAAAGTGGGCAAACACAGCTGCTGGACTCTACTGCAATGGTGCCGCCCACTGCAGGGACCATACAGGATGGCTGGTGGACATCAGAAGTCCTACCCAGAAGTGATCAGCCAAGGCTTCCACCACAGCACTGCCAGATCAACTCCTTCTGAACAGGAAGGGTCACCCTCTGCCCCCTTCCTCTCCTAGAGGCGCAAATCTAGAAGTCAAACGGAAAACTCATCAGCTGCTATCAGGATTAGCAACTGCAACTCCCACCCTCAGGCTCTCCTGGTGGAGAGGTGGCAGGAGTGGTGCAGTTTGCAGCCATCTCACAGTTTGTCTTCAAGCACTCTCCACAGCACATCTTTGGGTGACAGCAGATGTAAAATCCCTGAGGAATAAAGACCCAATGACCATGCCACCTGCCTTCAAAGTGTGTCAGAACCGGCCTGCAATGTCTGCTTAGCAATAGGGGAACATCTCGTGTTTGCAGAGAGCCCGCTTTCCGTTTTATAGCCTCTATCATCTATTGCAAAACAGGGAGTTTGGTTTAGGATATCTATTAAGGTAACCAAGGAACAGCACGGTGGGTATCTATGTCATCAGAACAAAAAAATAAGGTTTTAGAAACAAGCAGAGTGATGGTGGCATCAGCCTGCCGCAGCCCAGGTACTGAAACCAGCCTGTCATTTTCATCATGCAAAAAGAGCCAATAAGCCCAGACAACTCTTCCTTATTAAGAAATTTTGTGACCAAATAGTGCCCTCCCGTTTGCAGTTATGGAAGACTCCTTCCTTCTTATGACAGACATCTGCACTGAGATGAAGGAAATGTCTCTATACTTTCTGTATGAACAGTGGAAACCATTTTGTATAACACCATGAAGTGGTGTAACACCAGCATGTTTATCATCACATCTTTCCTCAGTTCATGAGTATTCTTCTCACACTTCAGCACCTGAGAAGGTAAAATGCTTTCCCTA